TGAACTTTAAGACTAAAGAGCTGGTAGGGGTGCCTGGGTGGCTTAGTCGGTTGGGCGTCCGACTTTCGCTTAGGTCATGATCTCGCGGTTCGTGGGTTCGAGCCCCGCGTCAGGCTCTGTGCTGACTGCCAGCTCAGAGCCTGGAGCCTTTTTCAGAGTCTGTGTCTCCCTCTCTCTCTGACCCTCCCCTGCTCGCGCTCTCTTTCTCTCTCCTAGAAATAAATAAAAATATAAAAAAAAAACAAAACTAAAGAGCTGCGGGGCCACATGGCTGCCCATCCACCCACCAAACACATGGCTTCATTTCTTTCTTACAGCCCTCCAGGCTCATAGATAGTCCTTGATGAGGTGGGGAGAAGGTTCCCTCTTCGATGTATGTAAGGATGAGCCCTAGGAGAATAGAAGGACACAGGGACCCTTCCTAAATCAGCCACCCCTGGACTCAAGATCACAAGGAAGACTGGCTCTCTGAAGACAACAGAGTATGGAATTTACATTGCATGTTGGGGAAGTTGTCAGAAGACTCAGAAGAAAACAAACAAACGAACAGAGCCAATGCCACTCTTGCGAGGAGGTTTGGGCAGTAAAGGGACAGGCTGCCCATTCCCTGTGGACAGGTAGTCTGACCAGCCCGCAGGAGATAATCATGCTGCCACCAGAGGTATTTATCTCAAACATGGAGCCAAGAGTTGTCCCTGGATTTTTCTAAAGAAGAAATCCATGAGCAACTCAGGCATCCAGTAGGAAGTAGAGCTCGGGTGGGCTAAGAAACTGGCAGAAGGAGCGGGCACTAGCAACTTCAGATTCAGGCCCAAAGTGCGCATTTGTGGCAACATGGCCCAGTGGCGTGAACTGTTCCCAATTTCCACTCTCCCTTTCTTCCCTTTCATGAGAGAATTCATAAGTTTTAGTTGGGCATATGTAGGCGGCCCTGCCAGAGACTACATTTCCCAGACTCCCCTGTAGCTAAGTGTGCCCAAGTTCTGGTCAATGAGGGATACGAGTGAAAGGGCATGAATAGCTTCAGAGTTATAGCATTTGGAAGCAGGCTGTTTGCCTGCAGTGGGGAGCAGAAGGTAGAAGTAATGGTGGGCAGCTGTACCTAGGCAGAAGAGGGGGACGCCCCAGGGGATGGGAAGAAACCCAGCACAAGGAACCTGGGTCCCTGAATGACCCTGTGGAGCAGAACTGTTTACCTGTCCTGGACTGACCATCTACCTCCGAGCTAGTAGGTGAAAGAGAATAATACACTTCTATCCTTTGTGAGCAAATGTATTTTGGGGTCCTTTTGTTACAACTTAGCCTGTCCCAAAGGTGCAGATAATAATAATTTTTTTTAAATGTTTTTATTTTATTTCTAGGAGAGAGAGAGAGAGAGAGAGAGACAGCATGAGCAGGGGAGGGTCAGAGAGGGAGGGAGACACAGACTCTGAAACAGGCTCCAGGCTCTGGGCCGGCAGCCAGCACAGAGCCCGACGCGGGGCTCGAACCCACAAACTGTGAGATCATGACCTAAGTGAAAGTTGGACGCTCAACCGACTAAGCCACCCAGGCGCCCCATATAATAATAATTTTAGTACTGATGGTAATATTTATTGAAAACGTATAGCGTGCCAGTCACTGTTCTAAACATTTTGCAGATGCTATCTCCTTTAATCCACTCAACACTCCCTAGATAAGGGTTGTCATCCACAGGGAGATTTAGTACTTTGTCTAAAGGTTCACAGCTTCTGAGTGGCCTAATCAGTAGTCAAACAAGTACTCTGGATGGACATCATACCCATGGTCACTGTGCTTTTCCAAGCCTAGCTTTTTATACTTTTTATAATTCCTTGCCATCTAAAGGACACAGCTTGCTGGGAGCCACACTGGACTCTCTGGATGGCAGTCACAGCAAGGAAATGGCAGTGTTTGCACAGCTCCAGCCATGAGAAACGAAAACTGGTATCTCCTGCTACTACTACTGGCTCATGTTGGAAATGAGCCTGCTGGTATTGACCAGGCCTCACAATATTCCAGATCAGACCCATATTCCGAACACAGATACCACATAAGGAAAAGCATATTCCTGTCTTTACAAAAGAGATTTTAGATGAGAGCTCTGTAGGTGATTGTCAAAAGCCTCTTCCTATGGGCCTTGCATATCAAAGACAATTGAGCCTGGCCCCAGGACAAAGAGCCTAATTTAGAGTTTAGGAACAAACAGGGGTAGAACTTAACACTTACAGCTTCTTCTAACTGGTGATGTACGGCAGTCCCTTCCCCAAGGCCTATCTTCTGCAAACACCCTCCCTTACAGGTGGCTGGGATGAGGATAGAAAAGAGTAGCTAACACATAACCCAAAAGCAAAAGGCTAACACATTTAGGGACCCCGTGGTGTTCACACATTCAGCATCAAATAGGTTTCCACAAACAAACCAGTTCAAAAACATTCATCCTCTTAAGAACCAAACAATAATTCCTAGCCTAACTATTTACGACTTAACATATATATGTCATCCTATTTTTCATTAAGAACATCCTGTTATTTCCTTAGTTGTAAAATTCAACCTCACTATGATTGAGGTAATTCACAAAAGGCTTCCCATTGTAAAAATTCCTTTTTCTGATCTCTTGTTGTTCTTGAACCTTTAAATAAAGACACCAAAACCGACAGGACAGAGATGCCTGCCTGGTGATCAGAAAGAATCTCGGGGCTCTCTCACTCTCTCTCTCTCGCCGACACCGTCCATCCTTCAGGGACCCCTGGACCTGTCGGAGCCGGCCTCCGACAACAGCTGACTTTGATTAACTTTCCTTCAAAACCACCGCAGAACCAAGGCATTTAGTTTCTCTACCTACGGTTTTCTCCAAGGGAGCACAGGAAGGGGACCCCAACTATTGACCTTACGGAACTGCTGAGAGGAGAAAATGAATTTGTGCATGTTGAAGAAATGCTTTTTTTTTTTTTAATATTTTTATTTATTTCTAGGAGAGAGAGAGAGAGAGACAGCGTGAGCGGGGGGGGGTCGGAAGAGAGGGAGTCACAGACTGAAACAGGCTCCAGGCTCTGAGCTAGCAGTCAGCACAGAGCCCGACGCGGGGCTCGAACCCACGAACCGCGAGATCATGACCTAAGCGAAAGTCGGACGCTTAACCGACTAAGCCACCCAGGCGCCCCGAAGAAATGCTTTAAAAGCTAGAAAGCGTGGCATCCATGAAATATTGCCTTAAGGCAGGCTGGGAAATACTTAAATCAAAATAAGAAAATGCACTCAAAAAAAATTTTTTTTTAATGCAAATCCCATCTCGCGATTTGGCAGATGGCCTGGAAAGGCTGTGGAGTCTGTCTGTAAGGAGCGGGGTACACTTGGTTTTGTGCTCCTGCCATCCTCAGCCAAATAGGGGAGAGATGAACTGAAATTAATAGAAAGACAGCATACCTGTGTGCCTGGCGTGTGCACACACAGAGCCTCACGTGTGCATGTGCATGCATGTGCACACACACACACACGCGTGCAGGCTCAACAGAAGAGAATCTTAACTATCAAGACCAGGAGTAGCAGCAGTCTGCACTGCCTGTGGGAACTGGCGGCGGCGGGTAACAGAAGTTGGGGAGTGGGGGATGGGGTGGAGGAAGCAGAATGCTTGCCGTGTGAGTGGGGACTCTGGTGAACACGCAGCTCTAGCTGCTCTTCTGCAATTTAAGCCTGGCATGCAGACCTTTCAGAATCACACATGAAATCTCCCCGCTTCCCGAGGATGCTCAGATTAATAAATAAAACATGTCAGGGGCCAGCAGGTGATCTCTGGGATCTAGCCCCCTGCAGCCAGAAGTCACATCCGGCTCTTGAAGATGCTTCATGGTTGTTATGGACAAGCCACCATTTGGCTCTCTCCCTGCCCCGCCTTGCTCTGCTCACCGCATGTCACATTCCTCTTCCTTTTTCCTCACCTTCACTCCACCCACTGGTAAAGCCAGCTTTCTCTTTGCTCCCTACCCTCGGACCGCCCCTTCCCTTCCTTTTAGCTTGTACCCAGTTATCTTGAAGACACAAAGTAGCTTCCCTCCTCTGCGTGCCAATCAATGCCAACCTTCTCTCTGCCAACATAATCTCAACCCTCTACCTGCTCCCAACGCATGATAATTTTTGCACGCCTTCTCAGGAAGTTAAGGTGGATTACGGTTAGCTCTCAATTGTCCGTAATGAAGGAGGCAGACAGGGAAGTACAGATAGCACGAGAGAAGAGACACTCAAAAGTCACAAGGCTTTGCCTTTAGCGTTTGGGTCAGGGGCATGCTACTGTAGCCATCTGTGCCAGTTGGTCCCCCCTGCACCCCCCACCCCCCATCCCCCCACCCCCCCACCGTGGAGACTGAGACAAGCAGATTCAAGGCCTGGAGAAAATCTTAAATAGGATTTACAGAGCTCAGCCTCCAGCCAAGGTGGAGGTGACGTCCTGACTCCTGCCTCCCCTCCACTTTTCCCTCCTCAGAGGTCCCTGCCTACATCCTGCAGGCGCCCAGGAAACTCCACCTGCCCCGCGTCTGCCGCAGTCCCCACAGCCACCCCCATGTCAGCCATTAGCTTCATCGGTGCCTCGTCCCAGGAAGGCTGGTGGCCCAAAGACCGATAGTTAAACTGACAGATTTCAATTTCACTTTCTCTGCCCTGACGGGACCTTGGCGTTCTCAGGGCACGAATACGGACCAAAAGGCCCCTGTAGGAGGGGGGACAGGGTGCAGAAACAGCACCCACAGCTGAGGTGTTGGCAGTCATCAGGTGCTACCTGACCTGAGCTGAGCCCTGAAGTTCAGAGGTCCCCCCAGCCTGAGAAAGAATTTCAGGGAATTTTCTGTCCTGCTCACCAGCTTGGCCCTGGTGCCCCTTAGCTGCAGAGTAGTGTGTATGTGCGTGTGCATGCGCATGCGTGCGTGTGTGTGTGTGTGTGTGTGTGTGTGTGTGATGTCCTGGGGCAGGGGAGGGGCTGTGCGGTGTTCTGTGCCCTCCTGACTTACTGTTTGTTTGGGACGTCTGGACTAGGACTACAAACAGTTCCTCTCTTTGTTTCCACGGCCTCGCAGAATGTGTGCTTCCCTCCAAAAGGCATAAAGGTCCCCTTTCTTCGGCGCCACTGGGGCCTGCCTTTGGGACCCAGGCTCGGGCCTGGTTGGGTCTGCACACCCAGCCCAGCCCTGTACACTGGATTGGACTTTCGTTCCGGCAGCCTGTGCTCATGTGGTCGCCTCCTGGGCATGCAGCCAGCTCCTGTTCTTAAAGCTGCAGAGCCTCCAGGGGAGCTGGGATCCCAGTCCCCCTCCCCCTTCTCAGCCTCCCCCTTCCCAGCCTTCCTGCAGGAGTCAGCCTGCCCTCCCTGGAAAGGGGGGAATGCATCATGCAAGGACTTGGGGGGAATTCTGAAAAATCCTGATGGCTGAGTGGCAGCCCCAGAAATTCTGTGGTGGTTCATCCAGGAGTCTGGCCCTGGGCACCGTGCAGGAGATTCCCCCATGCAGCTAGTCCTGGGAATCATCTTAGAGCTTCTCTAACTTCCGGGTGCTCAGGAATCACTCAGGGGTCCTGTTAAAATGCAGATTCTATTCTGGAAGGTGTAGGACCAAGGGTCTGCATTTCCAGTAAGCTCCCAGGAGATGCAATTGATTCTGCCCCCCAGACCACACTGAATAGCCGCGGTAATGGTTAAGATGACATTTTGGGGTGATGGTGGGGCTCAGAGCTGATGGCCAAGAAAGAATCCTTGAAGATGTCTTTGGTGCAACGAGGTGGGTTTATTAAAGCACGAGGACAGGGCCCGTGGGCAGGAAGAGCTGCGCTGGGGCTGTGAGGAATGACAGGCTATGCACTCTGGAGTTGGGGAGCTAAAGGCTAAAGGGGAAGTTTCCAAAGAGATTTTCCTATGCTGAAGAAGACTCACAGGATACTGGAGGCCTAGCTGTTGTCAAGCTAAGGTTGTTTTCCCTCTAGCAAAGCATTAACATTAAGACAGGAGGGGGTTCCTGGAGAGATGTTGTCCTCTGTATTTGCCTCAGGTATTTGTCAGGGGGCTGTGGATTAAGGAAATTTAATTTTACCCGCCATTTCCTTCCTGCCTTTGTCCCCCCATCACGATGGAGAGGAAGGTGATGTTGGGTTTCCAGGAAACTGAGTCTGCAGGTTTCTTGAGATTAGGGCTGTTGATAAGATTGCCTTTTTCTCGTAATTTACTAAGGTATTTGTAAACTGATGGAGACTCATGTCCTGTATGACCACTGTCTCTATCAGGTAGCCGTTTGTTTTCTTTCCTTTCGTCTGTTCTTGGGCAGCTGGGAGTGCCTGAGGAATATCAAGCACATCTCACCTGTGCTTGTACTTTGCCCTCAGCCTGCCTTATGCTCCCTCATCAGTTGGATCTACATCCTGCCGCCCACACCTGGAGGCCTTGGGAAGCTTCTCTCTAGGTCTCCTCACTCATCCTGGTCAGCTGTCATGAGGGTTAACGGAGATAAGCATGAGGCCCCAGAGCAGCACCCAGTCCTCTGAAAGTACTCAGTAGATGTTGGCTCTTGGGATTTTGAGCTGGATGCCTCCTTTGAGGGTAGAACAGGATCTGCTTTCTTCCCCTTCTTCAAAGCCCTCGGAACTTCTCTTTTGCTCCAGGATTAAGCCCAAACACCACAAGTGTTCCCCTCTCCAAATGATCCCTGCGCACACCTGTGGCTTCACCGCCTCTGCCTCTCACACGTCTCTGCACCCCCACTTCAAATCACAGGTCACACACGTAAGCCCACCGCAGTTCCTCCTTTCATCTCTGGGCCCTTGGGTGACCCTCCCTAAGCCTGGTTTAGCCTTTCCGTCCTCTGTGCCATCTGGCTAACTTCTTCCCTTCCCTAATGGCTTGGCACAGGCATGAGTTCCTTCAGATAGCCTTTCCGGGCTCCCAAGGACAGGAGAGGTGCCTCTCTGGGTTCCCACAACATGCCATCCTTCTTCTCCCAAAGCCCTGGGCATTGGGCTTTGTCAGTGTCGATTTACGGGTCCCTCTGCCTCTAATGGTTGGAAGCTCAGGGCAGTAAGAGCTCATCACGGTGTTAAATAATCTTGGAATGAACAAGTGGGAAAACAATAGAATGAATGGGTCTAATGAAAGGAAGGAAGGAATGAATGAAAGCTCTCCTTTATTACAGAATCAGAACCCCCATGTTATGCAATCCCACCCACCCAGAGTGCTATCTCCACCAGCCAGACCCTCAGGTGTAGCTCTGCAAAGGTTCATAGTGACCACAGATCCTCATCCTCACTGTCTCCAGCCCTAGCCGTGCCCACAGAGCCCTGGTGTTGATCTAACTGACGTCTTATTTCTATTTTTTTGAATGCTTATTTATTTTTGTTAGAGGGAGAGAGTGGGCGTGAGCAGAGAAGGGGCAGAGAGAGACTGGGGTACAGAGGATCTGAAATGGGCTCCTTGCTGACCCCAGACAGCCTGATGCGCGGCTCAAACTCACGAACCACAAGAATCATAACCTGAGCCCAAGTTGGACAATCAATGGACTGAGCCACCCAGGCATCCTGATGTCCTATTTCTAGAGAACGAAATGTAAAAGGTAGTTGTTATGTTGGTCATAGGTCATAGAGGAGCCAGATACTATGTATTTATTTATTTAAACTTTATTAGACACTAGACAAAAAATGGAAATAGCCCAACTGTCTACCAACAGATGAATTGGATAAACAACATGAGGCATATATACACACCACAGGATCTACAAAAAGGGATGAAAGTCTAATATGTGCTACCATATGTGTGAACCTTGAAGACGTTACGCTAAGTGAAATAAGTCAGACACCGAAGAACAAATGTTATCGCTTCTACTTATATGAGGTACTTAGAATAGTCAAATTCATAGAGTCAGAAAATAGATTAGTGGTTACCAGAGGCTGGAGGAGAGGAGAATGGGGAGCTACTACTATGCAATGGGTCCAGAGCTTCTGTTCGGGATGATGAAAAAGATCTGAAAATGGATCGTGCCGGAGACTGCATGACATTGTGAATGTATGTGATGCTACGGAACTGTATGCTTAAAAACGGTTAAAAGGGTAAATTTTACGTATATATATTTTACCAAACACACACGAAAAGCTTTATTAGAAGCTGAAACTATGGCAACATCCTAACATGCATCCTTCAAGGGATGACTATTATTTTATTTTATTTTTATGAAAATTTTTTCTATTTTTATTATTTTTTAAAATGTTTATTTATTTTTGAGAGAAAGAGACAGAGTGCAAGCAGGGGAGGGGCAGAGAGAGGGAGACACAGAACCTAAAGCAGGCTCCAGGCTCTGAGTCGTCAGCGCAGAGCCCGACACGAGGCTCAAACCCACAAACCGTGAGCTCATGACCTGAGCCGAAGTCCATTGCTTAACCGACTGAGTCACCCAAGTGTCCCAATTTTTTTTATTACTTTTTTAAATGTTTAATTATTTTTGAAAGAGGGAGAGAGAGAATGTAAACAAAGGAGGGGCAGAGAGAGAGAGAGAGAGAGAGAGAATCTGAAGCAGGCTCTGTGCTATCAATGAAGAGGCCCAACGTGCGGCTCGAACTCATGAACAATGAGATCATGACTTCAGCCGAAGTCAGATGCTTAACCGACTAAGCCACCCAGGTGCCCCAACAGGTGACTATTTTTTTTTAAATTTTTTTAAATGTTTTATTTATTTCTAGGAGAGAGAGAGAGAGAGACAGCGTGAGCAGGGGAGGGTCAGAGAGAGAGGGAGTCACAGACTGAAACAGGCTCCAGGCTCTGAGCTGGCAGTCAGCACAGAGCCCGACGCGGGGCTCGAACCTGAACCCACGAACCACGAGATCATGACCTAAGCGAAAGTCGGACGCTTAACCGACTAAGCCACCCAGGCGCCCCCGGGTGACTATTTATAAAGAAGCAAAGTTTCAGGACCTAGTCTGAAACATTTGGGGTACGAAAACATACCCCAGTCTTTTCTTTCCATTTTCCCTTGAGGCTTAAAACTGAAATGAAGAGCCCCAGAAGGCTAAACAGTGTGGACTACCAGAGGTACAAGGAATGTCAGATATTTACAGTTGGTTTCTTCAGTGGGTGAGATCTAGGCAAAACTGCTGGGGGAGGGAAATATTACAATATTCCGATAGCTCAGTGCATGCTTTGGTAAAGAAGCAGTTGCTTGTGTCAAAAGAATTTAGAAGTATAATCAAGCTATTGTTTGTAATTGCTTAGTTAAAATGAGTTCCCCTCAAAAAAGAAAAAAAAAAAGATTAAACCCAGGTGACTATTGTATGCCAGGTAATTGAAGCTATTTCAAAGTTAAGAAAAAGGAAGGCAATTGAATTGACTTAGTGGGTGATAGAAATAGGAATTCAAGCTGCTTTTTGCAGCCTGAATTAGATGTGAAGCTTCCAGAAGTGGCTGTCCCTGACAATGGGGAGGTTGAGAGATTAGTCCTCAAAAGTTGATTTGGACTCTGCTAGGAATTGAGCTTTCTGCCAATTGCTGAAGAGAGATCAAAGTCCACATTTTGTTTTGACTCCATGGAAACCTCAAGAAGAAACCCCAAACCATCGGCCTATGGCCAGCACCCCTCAGCAGCCCAGGAAGTATCCATTAGGCAGGAAAGATCCAAGTCCCCGGCAGCTGAGTTCACAGAAGTAGCTGGGAAGGACGTGGATTCTGGTCTCCGGCTCTTCTGTTCAGGCTGGGTCTCTGCCTTCATGGGCCCCATACAACTTCCCCTTTCTGCAGAGCACACTTGCACCTCTGATCTCCAGTCTGCTTGACCTCTCGAAGAGAAACAGGCAGGGAGGTGACTAAGTATGACAATCTGTACCTTATAGCTGGCGGGTGAGGCCCCCAGAGCGTAGCAGGGCTGAGGTGTGAAGACCTCCCGGTGTCTGACCCCCTACAGGTCCAGGGAGGGACACGGGGGTGGGCTTCATCACTTCCCTCATCTGCAGATCTCAAATCAAACTTTATTTCCTCCAGAAGTCTCCTTGGCCCCCTAGACCAAGCCGGCACTTCCTGTTATAAGTTCTCATAACTGCCAAACTTTTCCTTCAAAGCACTCATGACTTTAGGGAGCTCTAAAGTCGTAAAATTATTTGATCGTCTGATTCTCCCACTAGATCTTAAGCTGCGCTGGAGCAGGAAGGATGCCTGTTTTGCCGGTTGCCGTGTCTCCTA